CAGGTTCTTATTTTTAAAGCTAAAATTCCTATTTTAAAAACAGAAGAACTTGTGTCTTCTGAAGAACACTTCAGAAGAACTGAAGTGTGACATCAGTTCACATATGTTGATAGTTTCCAAAGCAATAAGAAATTCCTTGGGTCACATTTCATTCAGGTCAGCCAAATGTACAATCAAGTGGTTAAAAAAATGAAAAATTCTTCTACATTCTACAGTCTCTCTTCCTTATTTTGTGAGCTTGTATTAACTTTGTTTTGGTCAGTACTCTGCATCTTCTGTGGATATATGAAATAGCTTTTTATTAAACTATTAGGATCTTTTTGCCCAATATAATCTCTGTTGGCTATTTCTAGGCTTGGTACCATAATTCATTATGCCTAACACTATCATTAGACAGAGTAAGGCAGTCATTTTAGATGGCAGAGAATGGGAGAGAACATTGCATTAAAGGAGAATGCTGTATGCCATACAGCTTGCCTTGTGCTCCCAAAGCAAGCCTTCTGCCTTGTAGACATTATTGTTTCCATGGTCAGTATGGAAGGACACAAGTGCCCACCCTTTTAGCTTTTATACATCAAATGGAGTGTTCTTGTTCTTAGTTTCAGGAAGCAAAATATCTTGGCCAACTCCAGCATTAGATTCAATTGAGATGCTAAAAACTGAACTTTGGACCTTATACATGTGGGAAGAGAAGCCCAGCATCTCATACAAAAGACTGAGTACAAGGCTCTAGATACCGCTTCCAGATTCTGCCTTACCAGATTCTGAAATACATGAAGTAATAAACATAACATCTAAGGATCTATCACTGATATAATAAGCCCAACAAGCCCCAGCATCTAAAATCACTTAATTGCAATACTTTCGCGAAGGTTTGGGTTCTCTTTTACAGAACTTGGCACCTAGTGTTCATAGTTTATATAGCATATAGAACATGTTTGTTTTATAGATGAAGAGTTGGTGTTGAGAGATAGTAATAGTTCAAAAAGCACATAGCAACTTTATGGCAAAGTACAGAATCTGAATGGAGAGTTTCAAATTCAAGTTAACATTCTAGCATTATAGTGGAGGACTGGGTAGGAGAAGATAAAGTATATGAAGTAAAGAGGTATCCTAAGTACAAATTAACTTATGATACCTCTTCAATTCATATTTAAATTTCATAGTAAATAAAATTGTAAAAATATGTGTATTTAATAGAAAAATATGCCATATATGGAATAGTGTGTTGTAGCAAGCTTGTAAAATCAGCTTGCTAGGCTGATTTTAAATTTTCTGGAATTTTCTGAGCCAGTTGAGAGCAGAGCTGAGCCTTATGCCTACTGCACCAATCAGCTGTTCCATAGCTAGTGGCATGATGTGGCTGTGGCAATGGAGCTGGCAGAGCCAGTTCTTAAACATTTAGCAGTATACCACTGCATATATGCCAAATGGATTTTGACAGAATGCCATTGAAAGAAATGTTTTGACTGCAAACTACAGAGATAGGTAAAAGTAGAATCTTACATCTGAATGTGGTTAAAAAAAGTAGTTTTAGAAGCATATTGTACAAGTTGAAACCTTGCAAAACTGTTGTTTAAATAGGGACATCAATAAACAAATAAATTCTGTCTCCTTATTTCTATGGGTCCAGCACAGCCACAGCTTGTTGAATAACAGAACTGCAACTGAGCTTCATTTTACATGATTCAGTCCAGCTAGATGGCAGCACTAACTAATCTTGGCTGTACTCAGAAAACTAAACAAGGTTGGACCTAGTCAGTACTTGGATGAGATACCACCAGGAATTTTCAAGGATGTTAGTCTAAGGAGTCAGAAAACACTACCTATAGTTGGCATCAGTCATAATTTATTTCCATATTGTCGCTAAGAAAATTATATGGATGTATCTATGAAGTCTGCAGAAGTCAAGCTCAACTCTAACAAGATAATCTTCTCCTTTGTTTCATGATCAGTATCTATCTAGTAATAATATCTTCTATACATTCGGGGGGGGAGAAGTATAAATATTTTAATCTAAACAGTGCTGGAGATGGAAAAAGAAAAATGTACAAACTGGAATGTGTATGTTTGCTCAGATGAGGTTGTTCCAGCAGTCACTTCTTTTGTTGTCTGGATGGGAGGTTCTGAATTAATTATTGCATTGGCTGAAAAGATTTAGACTATCCAAAATGAAATTGCATTGGTATCTTTGTTTCTTTGGCAAGATGATGTTTATGGCTAGCAGCCAAACTTCACTGAGTTCAAGAATATATCAAACAACATTAAACTCTTGGGTCTTAATACGAACCAATATTTATCACAGGAAAACTGCACAGACGGCAACTATAAGCTGACTTATTTTTTCAAGAATGAGTAAAAAATGAATGCAAGAACTCAAGAGCAACCAGGAATTATTTGGTGGGAAAGGTTGCTTTTATGAACTAAAAGCTTGCAGATTCAATTAAAATATGTGATTCCAGTACATAATTTTTTCATGTAATGTAAACAATTCTATATATATTTATTATATAAACTAATAAAAATATAAATGCATATAATAGTATTAAAGGATGAATTCAACCACAAAATTAAGATAGAAATACCAAAGGAAAAAAAGAGTGGGAAAGGCCTAGAAACAGTGCTATAACAAAATTTTGATTATTATTCTCAAAATTTTTCTTTGCCCCTTTATTGAAAAATGACTCATTCAATGTTGATAAGCAAGACATATCAGCAACCTATTACTGCAAATCAGACGTAGACTTCTTCTTCCAGCGGGCGCTGCATAATGATTCTTTTGGCCAACTTGCGGTATTCCACTGTTCTTTATAACTTGATAGATTCCAAATATGGAGATATAGTCAAGAAGAACACATGCATCCTTAAACCACAGCAATTGATCCAGAATCATATTCACAATACTGCTGATGTCAGGTCAAACATAATACAGTGGTACCTCAGGTTACGAACGCCTCTGTTAATGAACTTTTCGGGTTACGACCAGCTCCGGCCGGAAAAATTTACCTTGGTTTGCGAACTCCGCCTCGGGGTACAAACAGGATACGCGGCCATTTTCCCTCCCATGACATGGTCCGCGGCCATTTTTCCGCCCGACACGTGGTCCACGGCCATTTTCTGCCCCTGACACGTGGTCCACGGCCATTTTTCCGCCCCTGACACGTGGTC